AAACGCGATGTCCAAGTCCCTTTCATGTTGAAAATCAAAGTCGTACTAGGCAATTGGCAAGATGAGAGTCCTCAATCGACACGTCACTTCAGGTGATATAGAAAGAGAATACCAAAACTATTCCCTGCAGTGCCTATTCCGCTCGTAGTATGTCCTCTGGATCAAGACCCAGACACAGTTGACCCAGCCCAAGATCATCCAATCTAGTCATGCGCATTAGCATAGTCAGATCTGGGTCACCCGCAGAGTCCTGAGGCTTAGTATTTAGAATATCCCATGTGCAATCGTCCATTTCGACCGCTGTGCGGCCCCAAGCAGACTTGATGGCGTTGGGATAGCTGTATGATGCAGCAATAAAACACATAGGAGAGCCTGTCCAGAGTATGAAAGGTAGAACCGCATATAGCTGAAAGACTTACAGAGCCCACTTAAAGTTTGCTCTCTTCGCACTTTGGGCGACGAGGAGTCCATGCCGACAAAAGGAGATTGGCTAGGTATGTGATCTGCCAGTGTATCGCCGAGGCGATAGAGTCGGTGACAAGTCGGGCATATTCGACTTGTGGAACGGCTTTTGTTGTACCAAAGGATCTACGAGATCCCTAAGTTCATCAGAGTCCAGAGGCAAGCTATTGGAAACGCACAAGTGCAACTTCTTCAGGCAGTACTGTCATGAGCATCTCAAGTACCTCCTTCTGTGCGAACTCGGCACACAACGGATCCTACCAAACCACTGGAGCCTGAGCCATGATTTAGACATGGAGAGGACATTAGGTAGACGTACGTTGAGCGCGGGTGGTTGAGCAAAAAACTTGGACGAAAGAAACGTGCGCACATCTCGCACTCGTGGCCCATTTCCCGGGTCATGGATGAAAGGGGCTTGAGGCACGGTCATCTCCAATTCGCCTTGACGAGATGGTTGGTGCTCGCGACGACTACCCGCTACAAGCCTTCCATTCTCCGCTATAGTTCCTGGCTCATACGCAGTTCCTACACAGGTGTGCAACGTGGATATATGACATGGCGAGCGTGCTGGCGCCCCTAAAGTGTTTTTGTCCAAGTCAGCGTCCGACAACGATGGTAGAGACTTTTCTGTGACTGCTTGGTGGCCCTTCTTGGTACCCTTGCCTTTGAATTTACGTCTCTTTTGAGAATTGGATGGACCGGGCATATTCAGAGGTAGATGTTTAACGTTTAACGTTTAACGTCTTGAGGGCACTCGCGTCGAAATCATCATCCACGTGACGGCGGCGCCTCGCGTGACTAAAGCTCGCACATAGCGGAATGTTTCAACACCCTGACATAAGTGCCACATACATGCCACAATTGCAACTTCGGAGGCAAGGGATAGGCTGACTCACTTAGTTGACACAACCGGCCCGTTTTCTGACGCGGAGTCTAGGCGGACTTCCAATCGAACGCCTTAGGAACCACAAAGAGTGCTGAGAACCAGCATTTCTGAGGATTTTATTCCTGTCCTTTTCCTCTGGTTTAATTAACCATGGGTTTTCGATCTTCTGGCATCTCGTGGACAGTGTTGTCTGTCTTTGGATAGAGAAACTTTGAACAGATCCAATCAGCCGATCAGCGGCCCACAACATGCGAGATGATTTCCCCGACTGACCAGGAAAAACAAGAGTTTAAATATCTGCTCAATGCTGTGTTATCCTTACGAGTCTTTTTGTGCTTCTCATGGCTGTCGCATGCACGGTGCTCAGACCTTTTCAACGAATAGTGGCCACTATCCTTAGCCTTGTGATGGTAGCTCATTTGCAGCAAATGCAAGTAGTTGCAGCCCTACCACCTGGGGCTCCTGAAAGTTTTGACCCCTATGCTGATCCTAAGCACGATACCAACAATTCTTTGAGGTATATTGCGACGAATTCGCTCACTGCAGTCTCTTTTAGTGCGTATATGTCCCATTTTGAACGTTGTCCCTTATACGCTTCAAACAGCTCTAGTTATGGTGGTAGCAATCTCGCAGACATATTGTGTTTTCAGATGGGGAGCAAAATGGATGCTCGCTCTTGTGATTGGCGAATATTGTTCGTACAATCTACACATGTGGCAAGTATCGATTCAGAGAAGTTATGAACAGGTTTCGCATTTGGTCTTGCCATGCGGTTCGCTCTCAACAAACATCCAGACTCCTTGACGATCTACATCGTCGAAGACATGTTTGTTGTGCTCTCAGTAAGCCTTTATTTCTCTCATCCTTCTTGTTCTTATACTTGAAAGCCATGTGCATTCATTGCAGCAAACTATGTCCTTCTTGGCCGAATGGCGACCTTTCTTGACCTAGACAAACACCTCCTAGTCTCTCCTCGTAAGATCACGGCAGCATTTGTATCCTCTGACGTGACAACTTTCCT